CTGCATCAATTAGTGCTTCACATCAACGTCTGCATCAATTAGTGCTTCACATCAACGTCTGCACCAATTAGTGCTTCACATCAACGTCTGTGTCAATTAGTGCTTCACATCAACGTCTGCATCAATTAGTGCTTCACATCAACGTCTGCATCAATTAGTGCTTCACATCAACGTCTGCACCAATTAGTGCTTCACATCAAGGTCTGCACCAATTAGTGCTTCACATCAACGTCTGCATCAATTAGTGCTTCACATCAACGTCTGCACCAATTAGTGCTTCACATCAACGTCTGCATCAATTAGTGCTTCACATCAACGTCTGAGAGAGACAAGGACAATACAACAGAGACAAGGACGAGCCTCCCGTCAATTGATGTGTCTCATATGATGGTTCTTCGGCAGTGCAGGATAATTGTTTGCTACAAGAGACAATAAATACCATGGGGGATAGTGAGGACGATACACCTACACTGTAGTCTAGGAGGTACACGCAGCGCACACACCTGTCTTGTACCTGCATACCTCCCCATACCTCCCCTGTATGTGTACACACCTCCCTGTATGGTATACACCTCCCTGTATTTGTACACACCTCCCCTTTATGGGTACATACAATACCCACCTTCCCTGTATGGTACACACCTCCCCTGTATGGGTACACACCTCCCCTGTATGGTACACACCTCCCCTGTATGGTACTCACCTCCCCTGTATGGGTACACACCTGCCCTGTATGGTNCCTGTATGGGTACACACACTACACACCTCCCCTGTATGGGTACACACACTACACACCTCCCCTGTATGGGTACACACACTACACACCTCCCCTGTATGGGTACACACACTACACACCTCCCCTGTATGGGTACACACACTACACACCTCCCCTGTATGGGTACACACACTACACACCTCCCCTGTATGGGTACACACACTACACACCTCCCCTGTATGGGTACACACACTACACACCTCCCCTGTATGGGTACACACACTACACACCTCCCCTGTATGGGTACACACACTACACACCTCCCCTGTATGGGTACACACACTACACACCTCCCCTGTATGGGTACACACACTACACACCTCCCCTGTATGGGTACACACACTACACACCTCCCCTGTATGGGTACACACACTACACACCTCCCCTGTATGGGTACACACACTACACACCTCCCCTGTATGGTACACACCTGCCCTGTATGGGTACACACCTCCCCTGTATGGGTACACAGTGATCCAGTAGGCCAGGGTGATGAAGACGTGTGCGCTGAAGGAGACGTTCGAGGCGGCCCAGGAGACGCGCTGAGCGGCCGTCATGGCGCCGTAGCGGTGGTCGCCTGGTGCCACAATTAAGCCTTCCATCAACTCATTCATAATATTATGAATGTAGAACAATACATGTCTCGATATTAAATATTTACCTTGTACGAGCTGTTCAGCAGAGCAATGTCAGAGGTCAGAGACCTCGCTTAAAGTTGAGATAAGCTCGTTTGCTGCACAAAGCAGCGCCTGGGCTACAGCAACTAGCCTCATTCTAGATTGATATTAAAATACCCCTTTTTATCGACCTGATCAATGAACTAATACCACCGGTTTGATCACCAATCCAGCGCATGACTGTCCGCGGAATTTAATTATTCAGTGTATGACTTTCCCCGGAATTGTGCACCGAATTCATTAGATGAGTAATAACCACGGCCGGCATTCATTGAAATGTTTCTCAAGCCGCTGCACGGCCGCTTAAATATCGTATTGAATATCGCACGCTTTCTATCAAGTACTATTATTAAATCACTCTCGTTCAACAAGTTCAATGCGGAAAATTTGCCTTTTTGGAACATTTGCTTACCGATACAGTTTAAAATAAGACTTAATACTAATGGCCTAATATATTAGACTCAAAACTAAATACTTACGATGCGGCCATGCGCCGCATGTGCATGAATGTCACTCACCCATGTCAGCCATGCGCCGCATGTGCATGAATGTCACTCACCCATGTCAGCCATGCGTAGCATGTGCATGAATGTCACTCACCCATGTCAGCCATGCGCCGCATGTGCATGACTCTCACTCACCCATGTCAGCCATGCGCCGCATGTGCATATCTCTCACTCACCCATATCAGCCATGCGCCGCATGTGCATGACTCTCACTCACCCATGTCAGCCATGCGCCGCATGTGCATGACTCACTCACCCATGTCGGCCATGCGCCGCATGTGCATGACGACATTGACGGTCTGGAGCGCGGTGTCGGCGGCCAGGAGCCAGATGCTCCAGTTGGTGAGGTAGGTGAAGTAGTGCAGCTTGAGGCTCCATGGGGCGTCGTGCCCCAAGAACCCCACCAGGGACCACACCGACCACGTCAGGAAGTACAGCGCCCAGAACAAGCGGTAGCCCAGGTACAGGCAGGACATGCGGCTGTGCTGCTGCCACTGCACAGCACAACATTCTGATGGTACAGGCAGGACATGCGGCTGTGCTGCTGCCACTGCACAGCACAACATTCTGATGGTACAGGCAGGACATGCGGCTGTGCTGCTGCCACTGCACAGCACAACATTCTGATGGTACAGGCAGGACATACGGCTGTGCTGCTGCCACTGCACAGCACAACATTCTGATGGTACAGGCACGCCAGGAAGCTGCTAGTCAACATATGTGGGCTGGTCGTCGTGTTGGAGCAGCGCGGGCCGCCGTCCAATATTTGCAGGGCAGCAGCACGCAGCTCGTCAGGACGCACGCAACGCGACCATTACCGATACTTGGGTGACGGCATCCATCACTAGTGGGTTAGCCACACAACTAGGGGGAGCCTAGCATCGCTGGTGGGTGACTCACAACTAGGGAGCGCCTAGCATCACTGGTGGGTGGACCACACAACTAGGGAGTGCCTAGCATCACTTGTGGGTGGACCACACAACTAGGGAGCGCCTAGCATCACTGGTGGGTGGACCACACAACTAGGGGAGCCTAGCATCACTAGTGGGTGAGACTCACAACTAAGGGGAGCCTAGCATCACTATAATGGGTGAGACTCACAACTAAGCGGAGCCTAGCATCACTGGTGGGTGAGTCACACAACTAGGGAGAGCTTCTAGTTCCCCGAAAAATCCTCCCAGAAAATCTTCGCACAAACGAAGCTTCTAAATGACTCGGCTTAAGTCGTTCACGAAGATGCAAACGTTCTACTCGAGCATTAGAAAACCAACCAAGATTTGAGGTCTTGAGTGACTGAGAATAGATTAATTCGTTAAAACTCCGAAGTCTAAAGCAACGACTAAAATTGAGGCTGTTTGAAGATGACTTGAATTTTGTCAGAAAGACGTTTTAAAACAAAATTACTAATAGTGCATACGATTATTGTTACTCTGAGTGATGTAAAAAGGAACTCTGATTCAGAAACAACAGAAACGTCAACATTAAGAACCATTCCCAACTATTTCAAAATAAATGAAACAAACGGATAAATAATTCATATTTGACGTGGGAAGTAAGGACGTTAACCTGTGCGGAGACGAGGAGATGTGGCGCGGGGTGGTCAAGCCGCAGGTTGCTGAGGGCGAACTCATCCCGCCAGCTCCATCCGCTGCCGGGACCCACCTGAGGGCGGGCAACACTCGTTACTGGTAGTAGGTGGTAACTGACGGCGATACAAGCATCGTACATGACCCGTATCTTCGGCGCCGTAACAATGACACTCTGCCACACTCATGATGCGGATAATAAGCAAGTGAATCTATTCAAATTAATCACCGATTAAAATGCAATACGTTCGCCAAATTAATAACAAATGAATCTTGATTCATATTTGAATCAACGAATGAAATCACGTAATTTTATTATTTCTATGACGAAGTTGCACTCTGGACGAAATATCTCGCCGAAGGCTATCACAGAAGTTGCGGCATAAACTTCCAGCGTTTTTCATTTGTTTCTGCAAAATGGCTGCATAGATATTCGTCGGCACACAGATATAATCGCCAGCACACAGAGATATTCGCCAGCGCATAGAGATATTCGCCAGCGCATAGAGATATTCGCCAGCACACAGAAATATTCGCTAGCACACAGAGATATTTGCAAGCACACAGAGATATTCACCAGCGCATAGAGATATTCGTCGTCGGCACACAGAGATATTCGGCGGCAAACAGAGATATTCGCCGGCACACAGAGATATTCACCGGCACACAGAGATATTCACCAGCGCATAGAGATATTCGTCGTCGGCACAGAGATATTCGCCGGCAAACAGAGATATTCACGGGCACACTCGAGCAAAGAGTTCTTTTCATTGAGGCTCAGGAGTGAGGGACGGCGGCGTAAGAGCTTCCTGTCCTACAGCCCGCCAGGTATTTATTCAGAGACGATCGATCTCGTATTTTGACGTCCTCCTAAGAAAGAATTCCCGTCAGAATACTGAAAACATTGCGTTGCGTGTGATGACACGCAACGCAACAGATGACAACAATGCGTATTAAACAAAAATTGAGCATTAGTAACTTTGGGCAAACAGGAATTTTCGACAACCTTGGCGAAAGTTGCGAAATCAAGCTAAAAAAAGTCTGTCGCACTGCTGTGAAAAACTTCGAGAAAAATATTGCTAAAAATGCAAAAAAGAATCCGAAAGCCTTCTTTTAGTACGCTAGTTCAAAGTGCAAGACAAACGACGGTGTATCTAACTTGAAAGTAGACCAACGAAAGTTTTCCTCTGATGAGGGTAAGGCTGACATTCTATATCAGTTCTTCAGCAATGTGTTCACAAATGAGGACTTGAACAGTATTCCAGATATTGAGGAGCGCCCAGTTGCCTCGAAATTAACAGGTTTTGAAATACACGAAGAAGAGGTTCTCAAGCGCCTTGTAACTCTAAATCCCAACAAGTCATGTGGACCAGACGGCTTCCATCCCAGATTGCTCAAAGAATTAGCAACCGTTCTGGCTGGCCCATTGACAGCATTCTTTCAAAAAAAACTTGAACGAAGGAACATTGCCGTCCTATTGGAAAGAAGCTCAAGTAACACCATTGTTCAAAAAAGGTGACAAAAGAAGCCCCGACAACTATCGCCCTGTCAGCCTGACAAGTGCTGTTGTAAGCTAATGGAATTTGTTGTGAGGGATAGGATTATCGATCACTTGACCGCTCACCATCTCCTATCGGATTGTCAACATGGCTCTATTGCCGGTAGATCCTGCACTATATACTTATTGTCTACGTTGAACGATTGGACTCGCCTTCTGGACGAAAGGAAGCCAGTGGATGCATTGTACCTCGATTTTGCCAAAGCATTTGACAGTGTTCCGCATGAGTGGCTGTTACGTAAAGTGAAGTCGTTGGGAATTGAGAGAGATGTACTGCAGTGGATCAGAGACTTTCTAGTAGGTAGACGACAACGTGTCAGTATTAACGGAACCGTGTCAGACTGGGCATCAGTGAGCAGGGGCGTGCCACAAGGAAGCGTTCTTGGGCCATTTTGTTACAGTGAAGGATGCGTCAAATAAAGCGCAATTGCAAGATGATCTTAGCAGTTTAGTTAACTGGGCTGATACATGGCAGCTGCAGTTTATTGCTGACAAGTGTAAAGTACTTCACCTCGGGAAGAACAATGAACAGCCAGCAAAATTACAGTATGAGAAGACATGGTTGCAACGAAAGAGTAATGATTGAAAAGTCTAGTGTGAAAAAAGATCTCGGAGTTTATGTCGACAAGGAGCTGAAATTTTCTAAGCATGTTGAAACGAAAGCCAATATATCCAACAAACTTATTGGTCTAATCAGACGCTCTTACGTGTTCCTAGATGCAGAAGCGATGAAGCAGTTGTTTGTGCTGTCGTGCACCCAAATCTAAAGTATGGAAACGTTGTGTGGTGACCGAGATTTGATAAGGACAAAAATTTAATAGAGAAGTTCAAATACGTGCAACAAGGATAATACCAGGCTTTAAGGGCAAGTCCAACGAAGAAAGATTAAAGATTATGAAGCTTCCAAGCCTCAGTTATCGAAGTCTACTTGGTGACCTCATTGAAGCATACAAGTATACTCATGGTTTATACAATGTCCCCGAAGGATTACTAGAATTTGAAACAAGAACCAACACCAGGGGCCACGGCTATAAACTAAAAAAACTGCGCTGCAACTCAACCACGCGACAACATTTCTTCTCGCTTCGAATTACCGACATGTGGAACAGCCTCCCTGATTACATCGTTGGCGCTCCGAGTATGAACGCGTTCAAGAATAGACTAGGTAAAGCTATGGAAAAATATATGTTCAGATTTAGAATGCCTAGCACCATATCGAACCCGGTGGAAGTCGCGTAGCTATTTCAAGCTATCGTCAGTCTTGAAAATATCCGGTCAAATGACAAGATTTTAGATCTTCTATGAACAAGTCACGAAAAGTTCAAGATTCGGCGATAGGCCACATCAGGCCTACTCTTGAGCGCCAACATCACTATGTTATGTTATGTTAACGCAGAGTCAAGAAGTCAATTGTCGGCAACAAACAACACGACGCAGTCAACAAAGGCTGCGACGCAGTCAACAATGGTCGGCCCAAAATGTTGTCGGCCTGCTTGCGGTTGGAGCGCGGCCCGGATGCGGGCCCAAATCGTCAGCAAATCTTTCCCCATCCTCCGAAAGGGGGACGGGGAGCCCATGTTTTTTGGTGCTGCCGGCCTGCGGCTCCCCACGCGTGGTCGGCGTCTCTCTTGCTACTAGCGGGGGATGCCGAGAACCCGGGTCCGACTTCGATGTGTGATATATGCAATAGACAAATCACAAAACGCCAATACTCATTTCTCTGTAATAGTCTTGCCCCACACTGGGTTCATAAAAACTGCACAAACATTCAACTCCATCAATACACAAATTCCTGTCGGTGGGTGACCTTTGGGCAGACTCCGTAAAAGCCGCGGGGCTGCTGGCCCACTGGGGCGACCGACTTGGCTGGCCCCAGAACTGGGTCTAGGCCCCACCTCGAGGAGGGTCAACAACAACAGTCAACAATGGCTGCGACGCAGTCAACAATGGCTGCGACGCAGTCAACAATGGCTGTGACGCAGTCAACAATGGCTGCGACACAGTCAACAATGGCTGCGACGCAGTCAACAAATGCTGCGACGCAGTCGACAAATGCTGCGACACAGGCAACAAAGGCTACTACGCAGTCAACAAAGGCTGCTACGCAGTCAACAAAGGCTGCTACGCAGTCAACAAAGGCTGCGATACAGTCAACAAAGGCTGCGACGCAGTCAACAAAGGCTGCGACGCAGTCAACAAAGGCTGCGACGCAGTAAACAAAGGCTGCTACGCAGTCAACAAAGGCTGCGACGCAGTCAACATAGGCTGCTACGCAGTCAACAAAGGCTGCTACGCAGTCAACAAAGGCTGCGACGCAGTCAACAAAGGCTGCTACGCAGTCAACAAAGGCTGCGACGCA